ATAAACCTGCATGCCCTTCTAAAGAAAAAGCACATGAATTACCTATCACACCTCTTTCCTTTCAGCAGTAAGTCAGTGAAGATGCTGACAGACAAAAAAATAAGGCTTTTTTCTTTTTCTATCCAGTCTACTAGTAACACCTGGCATTCACATGTTCGAGATAAGAGGACACATCTTAGAAAATCCAGTGTTCCTTCTTCTGAAAATAAATTGTATCTTCCTCTACTCCACATTTAGAGGAGGGGATATCTTGAAGCAGATTTTGAGGGGGGTGGGGGGAGGAAAGAGGGGAGGAGGGGAGAAGAGAAACAGGGAGGAAGGAAGGGAATCCTTAGACTCGTTTCTTCTGCTGGCATCAGACAAGGGAACACTGTCAGAAGCCACTGATGGTGGAATATCTGGCCCTTTATAGACCCAGAGGAATGCAGAGACATATATGCATTTTAATGGCACTATTTGTTATGTGTGGGTCCCTACTTCACAAATCTTTTGTGAAGCAATGCTTAATAGATGGAAAGCTAGCTCTTAAAAGCATCTTGTATGCCAGTAGCAGCTTTCAGAAGAGCATGCAGTGAAAATATTAATAAATGTATAGCTGTTGGATTCTAATCATTTTCGCTTCAATTCACTGATGAGGTGGCTTTGCATTCAATACTTGCCTCCCCAGAGAGTGATGGTTACCAAAGAACCTTATTAGCACTTGACAGGGTCATTTAAATATCATACAGTCTTTGGTGCCTAATTATGAGCATTGACAAAGCTGGAAGCAGTCTACACACAATCAAAACAATGGCGGCAGAGGTGACCGCATGGTTGTTTACCATTACCATCTACTTGTGTGTTGTCACTCCTCGCCTTGCCCAGTCAGGGCCAGTTGGCTCTAAAATCACTATTGATTTGCTGTTGTAAAAGGGCAAGGAAAGAGTTCTTACACAAAATTAAATCAGAAAATGTTACGCTTACTGTCCTTTTGTCAAGATTTTGTTTTCACTTTTGCTGTGATTTCTTTTACTTTCACATGTTCACCAAAAAAAAAAAAAAAAATTAACATTTTTTTTGTTTTGCAAGGGGCCTTGTGTTGTTTTTCCTTGTTTGTGTCTAATCCTTTGGAGAGTGTTTCCTTTTTTTTTTTTTTTTCTATGCTCACAAACGGCTTCTTACTGATTGTACTAATTGTACAGAATCCACTTGCTGCTTTCTTTTCTGTAACACGGATGCTTTGATGATGTCACATCCAGCCATATGCTTCACTTTTAATTCAGTGCAGGCATCTTGGGGAATATCTGTGGGGGTGTGAAGACGGGGTTCTTTAAAAGGGTTGACTCATGGGAATGTGACATTTGTGTGCCACAGCTTTAGTAGCTAAATATACTCTGGGATTGTTGTTTCTGAGCTACATCGCATTTCTTGCCAAAATGAAAACATGTAGTGCAACCCATAGAGAGGAACTATGTGTTGCCATCCCACTGGCATTTTCATTTTGGCCATTGAGGAATCTGCCCTTCCTATTGGAGAAAGAAAAAAAAATGGAAAAAAAAAAATAATCTCTAATTGGGCAAATTGTACCCCTATTTTCTCTTCTCTTCAACCTCCTACCCAAGGGGAAAAAAAAAAAAAAGGAAAAAAAAAAAATGTTCTAGAGTATGTTTACATTTTGTTTCCTTTCTTGCTGTGTTTTAGTGTTAATTTAATTGTCTGTTTCTCAACTTTGTCAAAACAGTTTTTCTAACCTCGCTGTCTAACCTCCCGCCCTGCTGCCATTGTACTTGGTCTCCCTCCTTCCACAGTTGTGAAGCTCCTCCTGTGGAGCACTCCAAGGCTTTACCCTCTGCACCACAGTACTGACGTATCACTGTGTCTCTGTAGTCGTCCTACTAACGATGGGGGGAGTAGGCACAGTGCTCGTAGAGAGGCCTACGTGAAGAAAACAAAGTTATTTTCTTCAGGAGTAGCTGTTCTTGCCCCTTGTTACCCTGCTGCCTTTCTCTGCTGCCTCCTGTCCTTCCTGCCTTCCATCAGAAATACCTCATGCTTCTCAAGTACTGGGTTCATTAGCACAAATGTAGCCAACTGTTCCGTTTCCTTACTCTCTCCCTAAATGGCAGGAGCCTGCCTTTTAATCACAGTTTTGATAAACTGGTTGTAAATTCAGCTTACATGTTCATGGTTCTGCTGCAGATTCTTCTCCCCAGTGTTCAGGTGGCTGAGCTGGGCACTGGACAATGCAAGTGTAGCGCTGCTGTTAGCAGCCTTGATGTTTGTGTTCTTGCTTGTCTCAATGTTCATTAGATGAAGATTATGAGGTGGTATCTCTTTTCCTTAAGAAGCCTTTTGTATATATCCATGTAACAATGGTAAAACACTCATTAGAAGCAGGATGTGATGGAGACGGTTTACAGAGTTAAGAGTTGCTGGTGTATCTGGGTATCAAGAATGCTCCTGTAGATATGATATCTGGTGGCATTTATTGTTTTCTACATTATAGAATCTATATTATCAGTACTAATAGCTTGCAGCCCTTCCTCTGGTACAGTATTAGACATAATTAGCAATAGTCAACTCTGTTTGGAGAAGGCTGTGCTACCGGTGAACCCAAGGGCTGTTCATTTCAAAACCTGACTCCAGAAGATAGTTCCTGTTGTACACAAGTGGCAGCGTTAATAAATTATACTGTGATTAGCGCTATTTGAAAGATTTGCAAAGTGCTGACAATGCTTGTCTCCAGAGAGTCGGCAAATGTTCAGGCAGATTCTGCTGCAGTGAGACAGAATTATATGAAACTTCAGGTAGAGTTATAATAAAGAATGTGAAGTGCTGATTTAACAAGAT